TATGATGGAGGCCGTTGAACATGATTCAAGATACTCTTTCCAGGAGCCAGTGGCTTGTCAAGCTACCCACTGCATTCCCCACAGTACCCCACCAAAACCACCATCAGAGCTCGCAACCTGAAAGCACTCGCAACCTGAAAGCACTGCTAATCACTGCTTTCATCATAAACTCATTGGAACAGCGATCCCCCTGCAGCTCTGCCCTTTCTCCGGGGACCAACTTGCGGGCGCTACCATTGGCCATCTGCAGTTTGGCAGGTGCGCAGGAGTGGGAGTGGCCATGTTTTTTCGCGGCTGACCAGAGTTGAATTCCACAAGCACATGTACCCCCGCTGAACACTCACATGGACCCTTTAAAGACCGGTTTGTAGAGGAGAACGGTCTGAGTTTTGGGAGGTGTATACCTCACAAGATCGAGACATGACGCACATCAGCTCATGTATGATTGAACAAGCGCCGCTAAGCCTTTCCTCAATTGGTGGGGTTGCTAGAGGTTGGTGATGGGAAGGCTTTTCAAAAGGGAGGGATTCTGATGCAGTGATACAGTGACCTGATGGAGAAGATGTCCCCCCCCTCTGAACACATATATAGTATTGGACATCAGTTCGTGCCTCTGTTTGGGCACCGCTTTTTCGATCCATGCCATCCATTTCTGTACTTTGGATTGGTTGGTTGGTCAGAACTCTGAAGCTTCGCAAGCTTCGACAGGGCCAATGGCCTTGCAGCTCTCCCTGAATGTGGTGGCGGCCTGAGAGCGGACTAGTGTTCTTTCTTGTTGAGGTGAAAGGAAGGACCTTCGGAAGGACCCACATAAAGTAAAAGCCCAGTCTCCTCTCCCCCATGAGCTAGCTGGCCGGATGAAGAGGTAGTGACAGATTGGGGGAGGAGGGACTTCCCTTGTCCAGTTTCCAGATAGAGATACTGTACTGCTCATTCATCCCTGGCAATATGTGATCGATGTAGCGGCTCCACATAAAGCTGGGTGCTGGAGGGAGGAAGGGGCTATCAGTGAACCAACACCTCTAATCCTGGAGTAGCGACAATTGGCTCTTGTCAAACAGGTCAGGCCTCATAGAGACCATTGATGTTCAGCATAATATGGCTTCCCTCCTCCCCTTGTTCTTGATCAATTGACCCAAGGCTGGCCTACAAGATGCCCAAGTGGGGCCAGACGTTCAGAAGATCGGCGTGCCGGGGGCCCTGCCCAGCGGTGGACTTCGTCCACCGGCCGACGGTGGACTGCGGGGCGTCTGCCCAGTCAGGTCGTACCTCTTGATTCGACCAGTCGGGAAAGATGAGGGTCGTACCTCGGCGGATATTTGGCTCTTGTGACAATTGTCAGATCGTAGATCTAAATCTAAAGTGGACTAGCCATGGACACTTGGCGCGGCTGAAGGCAAGGCCGGTTCAGGTTTGAATCCTAGCAGGAATCCTGATGCTGTCCCTACAAGTACCATGACTTCTTTCCCAAAGAGCGGTGCAAATGAGACCTGGAACCAAAAGGAGATCTGACGTCCTGCGCAGCGAACGAGCACGTGACCGTCCTTCGATGCCAAGAACGAGCCCAGCACTGTCCACAGCGACAAAGGAACCGTCCCTAAAACATCGTCCTTCCCATTTTCACTACAGAATGGGTGCCCACCCCTGGAATGAGAAGAGGGATCCTAAAACATCCTACTTCACGCTCCTTCCCGCCCTCAACTCCTCAGAGCAACGACGAGGTCCACCCGCCGGCCACAGAGCCCTTCGTGCGAGGTCCTTCCGCTCCTTCCCACCTGAGCCTGTGGTGATCAATTCCGTGATGCCTGAGACCTGGGGCCAAGGACGCTTCCAAGGAGGCGCGGCTCCGCCGTTTGGGACCGGCGGACATCGAAGATGCCATGTTCGATGCCATGTGCCATGTTCGAACACCTTGAAGTCATGGGTTTGCAAGGAAATGAACACCCCCAACATCTGGCTTGTAGATGCAATCTTGAAATATCTTGAAATGGGTCAAGGCCCTTTCAGAGTTTCCCGAGTCTTCTTGGCTGACCAATCGCATTGTGTTTCCCAGAGCAGCTTTCAGTCCTTTTCATCTCTTCATTCTGTCGAGGTATTTCCCAGAAGTGATTCATTCTGTCGAAGCAGCAGCTTTATTTCAACGTGGCCCATTCGGCCAGCTCTCCAGCCGCTGAACGTTCCGCCGTTCTCCGCAGGCGAAGAGGTCGTGGCGGTGAACGGGATCGATGTGGCCACGATGGACCGTCGGGGGAGCCCAATGGGCCCGGCACGGTCTTTAGTATGTTTGGGGAACGGTGGGGATCATCGGGATGCCCCAAGAAGATGCGAGCACCGGCCGAAGATTATTCGGGCCAGGTGGGGGCTGTTCCAGATGTCTCATGTTAATGATTGGTCGGGGGAACTTTGAAGAGAGACAGTGTTGCGAATGTAGCTCAGACCAAACGCTTGGGAGGTTCCTTCAGGGGGTCACCTATACCTCTTGTTGAAATGAAAAACAGACCCAGGAACCTGGGGGAACATGGAGCAACCTGGAGGAACCTTGACACCTGCCGTGTGTTTTTAGCATTCGTTTACACATCCTTTTGATCCGTTCAGTGAGGAGTACTCCCCAGCCTCCGTGGTTTGCTTCCGCCGCCGGTGGAGCCACCGGAGTCGGTGGAGCCGAGGTGATGCCTTCCGAGAAGCCTTGCAGGTGAGACCCCTCACCATCAGGCAGGAGTGACACACCCCTGGCAGTGGGCAGTGATGGTGTCCGTGTTGTGCGGAGCTTTGGATGGTACCCTAGTTTTTGAGCCACACCCAAACCTTGCTCCTTAAAGGCCTTAAAGCCTTTGAGTCTTGTGATGTCTACAGGTGTGGCTTTCTGGATCTGCTCAGCGTAGGGGCGCGGTGTTCTATCAGAACATGACTTCAACAAGCACAACAAGATCCAAACAATTCATGGACACCAAGCTTGTTCATGAACACGGAATGGGACAATGGCCTCGGGATCCCAAGATCGACCGTATAGGATCCCAAAGGAGAATAGACGGAATAGCCCGTGAAGCCTTTGTGGGGGATTCCTTCTTTGCCAGCCCTGGAAGTCATTGCCTCGGCAGCGGCGTGAAAAACCGGGCCCTACCAGGTTTCGTGTTCCAGCTCAGGCCTCATCGCACACGGGTGGGGGTGGACAACAGGCTGTTGAGTCAAAAGAGGATATCTTGGTTTTCGGTTTCGGTGTCTAAACCTGCAGAGCTGGAGCAATCCGACCTGGCCTGTTCCATGATTATGTAGCCCCTTTGCGGTGTCATAAGGTCTCTTGGTGTCCCCTGGCAAGTGAAGGTATACTGGTATACTTCAAACTTCAGACATTCACCTGTGCAACGAGCATTGGCATCCTTTTGAGGGGATAGTGACCCATGCCGTGGGCCGGGAATCCATTCGGGGTTGACCGGGAATTTTTTGGCGGAAACGAGTTGGTATCCTTTCGCATATGTTCATCAGTCCGGGATAAGAATTTCAAGACCCCAGCGAATCACTGAGAGCATGTGTTCTTTTCTTTTTCTAGACTTGAGACTGAGGGGTGTATGTTCATGTCAACAAAGCACAACACTAACAGATGCGCCCTATTTTGCTACAATCAGACCCCCTTTCCCAGTGTATTCCTGTTTATTGACTTTTCTTGCAGTAGCATATTGACTTGCTTGCTCACGGTATTTCCTTTTCTTGTCTTCCCGTTTTCCCTTACTTTTTTGAGCCTGTGTCATCCCCTCCGCTAAGTGGCATGTTGGGCAGGATCAGCTTGATAGCGTGGTGGCAGAGAAAGGTGTCGAGAAGATCGGCCTGTCAGGGCATCCAAGTGGATGGAGAAGTTGGATGTCATAGGGAGGTACTCGTAGTTGGTACTTGAGCATCTTGAGCCGGATGCGATCTAGAAGTGGGGTGAAGGCTTGAGGGGCGGTACTTGAGCGGGATGTTCTTCTGTGCTCAACCCAATTGAATCCTCTGTAGTTTCATCTAATCCAGACTATCGAAAGATAGCAGGGGGGTCCAAGTGGAGAGGGGGACTCCATAGTTTGCCGGCTTCGGACCACTTTGGACCTGTGGACTACTGTTAGTGTTGTAAGGTGACATGAGATGAGTTCACACATGTTCATTGCCTCTTATGTACAGTAAATGATCTAAAAGTCCATGCGCTAGAAAGCTAGCGGTCAACAAGCATGTACCAACTGGGTGAAAAGCTGTCACCCCCAAGTGGCAGGGCCAGTTGCTTCGCCGACTCTTTGGGATCCCAAAAGTACGGAATCCGAGCCCGTCGATCCTGAAGGCTTCCGCATCGATCGATCTGCTAAGAGTGTTTCAACAGAGTGTGGTAGATCTGCTAAGCTGAAGGAAGACGTTTCACTTAACGTTCTCCGATGAGTTTTTTCTTTCGTTTGGCCACACTCAGCCTGCTGATAGGGTCTTCCAGCAGCTTCCGCCGGCGCCCGTGATTGTGAGCAAAGTCCAGGAGAGTGTTTGTTTCGCCACATCATGTCATTGGATTGGTGCTGGTTTGGTGAGGGTGGCTTCTTTGCAACTTCATGATCTCTGATCTCTCAAAGGAGTGCTTGATTTACCAAGTGCCCAACAACAGTCCAACTATCATCAAAAGCAATACTACGCGATTCGGCAAAAAAACCTGACTTTTACTGTTTGCAATGGTTTGCTTGACTTGGGAGCAGGTATGCAGCCAACCCAAGATCCCATCCAAGTAATATTATATATATATATATATTCATACATCCATTAGGAATAGGTACATGATCAGGCACACTCACCTACGGATTGACAAATTGAGGCCAAATGAGGAACCTTCCTTCACAGGGATTCGAAACGCAGACATGCACATCCTCATGCATGCACACTACAGTATCTCCCACAGGAATATGTGAATTGTGCACCCTACACTTCAAAGACCTTTTTTGGCAACACCAACGTTTGGGAACTTCATTTGGCACCGACCCTTTGACTTTCTCAGCATGCCGGACGCCGGAAAACGGGCAGAGCTTAGGAGGGATCCTGGGCGGCTCAGCAAGGCTTCGAGGGCGGAGAGGAGATCGTAATGGTGAATGGAAAGGAGCTGAGCCAGATGTCACTCGGTGCAAAACTTCGGCAAACTCGCTGAGAGACCAAGGAAAGGGCGCCCCCCCAAAAAAGTACCAAACAACATCTAGCCGGACATGCGAACACGGAGTATAGAACAGTGGCTGCAGACCACGCTTGGCTCCGCTGGGGAGAAGAACGACCGGTGCAAACGCGCGCGAGCGGCTTGCGGCTCCGTTGGGCCTTCGCTCCTTCGCTCCGACCGGAAGGCCTACGGGTTTACCATGGCCTTCCAAGGTCGGCGGATGACTTCAAAAAGGCCCTCAAGGAGGAGCGACCTTTAGCCTTGAGGCAGGCTCTCGGACTGCAGGGAGACCTGCAGGAAGACCTGGGCGGGGCGGAAGGTCCAGGGGGCCGAGAGTTCGGTCCCGGCACTGAGGTCCAAGCACGGAAGTACCATGGATTCGGGCAAACAGAGAACAATGGTTCCAAAAGAAGCAACACACCACTTGTAGGAAAGCCAATTGAGCATCATGTGCCATCTTGGGGTGTCTATTTTGTTCAACAGTTGGGCAAGAGGATGCAAGAAATATCCCAAGGCAGAGCAAAAAACTGCAGAAACAGATAGCAAATGACATACAAATAGAAGCAACACAAACATGGGTAAGCAAACTAGATATATAGTCAAAGTGAAAACAAACAAAGAAAATAACAAATTCAAACACAACACAAGCAATTTTTAGGCTGGGCATGCAGCAGGATTTCTTTTGTGTTTGTTCTCAGAACCTCACAATTACTAGGTGTTGACAATGCGGGGTGCCCACTGCCATTCACAGAAGACACATAAATGGCAGCGGGTCACAGTCCAAAGCAGTCCGAGTTACAGATCACCTCGGTGACGACGGCTTCGCAGGTGTGGAAAAAATCCGGAGACCGACCAAGCCTCCAAGATCCAGGGAAGATCCGCCGCATTTTCCGGATCAAGAAAGCAATGCATCTTAATTCAATCTCGACTCTTAAGATGCCAGTCGTGATGTGGATCCTTCTTGCGCCCTTTCTTCTTGCACGAGTTGGAAGTGCCGTGGATTTGAAGAGAAACGCTAGTCAATGCGTTTCAAATCGAGGCCATGCATACACAGAACCCGACTGTCTATCAGTGGCAAAAGCATACGGTTGTAAGTGGGAAAGCAATGAATGCGTTTGTGCAAACGGAGGGGTCTATTCGAAGCGGAGCCACTACTGTTGGCCGCCTGAAATCGACTCCACAACCACCACAACGACTCGGCAACCTGCAGTGCCTGCAGCTGAAGACCCCAGTGGCCCGAGCGTTTGCCGCTCCAATAGTGGCCGGCCATACGATGAAGACCACTGCAATACAACAGCCAAAGCATATCATTGCGAATGGCGCGATGGAGCTTGTGTTTGCTCCAATGGTGGCACGTACGCCAAGCGCTCCCACTACTGTTGGCCACCAACAGACCCCACCAGCACTACGACAACCACGACAACACCGTCAGTGACCCCTGCTGCAAATGAAAGCACCTGTGTGAGCAACAGGGGATTTCCCTATGACTCGTATGATTGCTCATGGGTTGCCAAAGACTACGGCTGTGTGTGGCAGGCTGGGATGTGCACCTGTCAAAACGGTGGTGTTTTTTCCAAAACGAGCAAGAAGTGCTGGCCGCCAAGCTCGACACCGACGCCACCGCCATGTCAGGAGTGCGGCAACTCGTCAGGACGCTGGGTGAAAGATATTTGGGATAGGTTCGGAAAATCTTTGAACATTGGAAACTTTGCAGGTCCTGTCCATTACTTTTCCGACTTAAACTTGATCCACTTCCTGTTACTTTGTATTGGGGGGCGGCTCAAAGCCATCGACCCAAAAGCCATAAACGAGTTCTTTGGAACTAAGCTTTGTTTGAGTTCAGAGCTTGCGCGTTCCGAAGTTGTAGATCAACTTGTTGCTGCAAAGCTGGTCCAGACCTAAAAAGAGTAACCCAATGCAAGAACGACCAATGAATGAGCGTAGCCCCCCTTTGACCGGTCAAATGTTACCAAGTCCCACGAAACAACCAAGCCCCTTGATTGATGCATGGGTGGCCTGTGAATGTGGCGCCGAAGCCCCAGCGAAATCGCGCGCTGCCCTGGCGCCCAGGATTTCAGTGGATCTATTGGACGTTGACCCTGCTGCCGGTTGGAGTGTGTGTGGCCTGTCTCTTCCCCTGCACACGTCGCGGAATGCGCCAAGGATGCCACCGTCTCCGCCGGAGACAGCGGGCCCTTCCAGGATCCAATCAGCCCGTGCTGTTGAATGTAGAGGACAACGTGGAGGTCGTCTCACAGGGTGCATCTCACCGATGAGTTGGTGGTCATGTGTTGCATCGTGAAATTGGCAGATGCCCGGAATCATGAACAGTTTCTTGCCAGTGCGCTGGACTGGTGCCATACAGATCTGAAATTGGATCTGCCAAAATGCGGAATTGTGTGTTTGATCGTTGAAGAGGGGCGCGACCCTTCCTTTCAGCACGTCCCATCGTCCCGTTTCTTTGAGAAGGGATCTGGTGTTCGTCCAAAAACGACACTGTACAGTGAACTCCTGCGGGAAAACTGATCTGGATTGCATTCAGTACGTTTTGAATTTTGGGGGGTTCACCAACCACCGTCAACGTCACTGTGGCATAACTGCTTCCACTGTTGAACGTGTGGTATGCGTGGATATGGATGATTGATGGTTTGTGGTTATTTCGCACATGGATGGATGTACCGTAGGCCTACCAGCCACCCAGCTGTAGTCAGATCCCGAAAGGGAACTGTAAACTTTGGTTGTGAAACATACCCCACCTGACCCCCAGAGGTTTCAGACGGTCCAGGTCACAGAATCTTGGGTTCGAAGAACTCGCATCGGTTTGGCTTGATCAAGTGGTACTTTCCACTTCAACTCAGGCCTGGTGCCAGGATTCGGCGCCTTGGATTCGGCGTGGTGCGAAGAAATTAACACAAGCATGGCTTCTGCAAAAAAAAGGGAATAGGCCGGTCAGCTGGTCTAGAGTCTAGAATTCGTGAAAGAAGAGGACACTAGACCCCATTGGTTGGGGGTTGTCCTGGGGGGTGCCAAGAACCCGGACCGCACTCCCCGTTTCGCGAGCCCAAAACGCAGGTTTCGCCCTCGAGAGCTTCCAGTTCGGGGGTCCCGGATAGAAAATCGATGGGAGGAAGCGGATGAAACCGATGAAACGGTCCAAGAGTATAGGGCACCCGATGGTTGCTTTGGGTGTACGTGAAATCATGAACTCAAAGGTATCAAAAGGTGGTAGAGTCAGGTTCAACCAACAAGACTGGGATGCACCTGGAAGGCTTTCGGTTTCCGATATAGACACCAACTGAAAGAAGTGTATCACAAACTCTAACTCAGGATCTTTTGTGGCAATGAAACATAGCCACGTTGGATGCGGAAATTCGACTCCACCAAAGGCTGTGAATTTGTATAATATAATATATAGAATATAGATAATATATGATAATATATATATATAATTAACTGTACCTGGACCCTCCAAGGGGTGTCCAATGGACTACCCCACCTACCTATAGGCTTCCAGACAGGGCACCCCGATTGGAGGGCGTTCGACCCGACACTGAAGCCAATCACCTCCATCGCACCCGCCGGGCGCCGCTGACCCTGGCGCCGCGGCCAGAAGGACGGCGTGGAAGAGCTCGTGGCGGAGAAAGAGGTCGGGAAGATCGGCCTGTCAGGGCACCCGGACGATCCGGTGAGGTCCAGTGCGGTGACGGGGCGGCGGGAAAATGGTCCAATGCGGTGGGCGGTGGGTTTGTGTGACCAGCTGCCAGCTGCCCCACGAAACAAGTTGGTCCTCGCAAAATGGGCTGCCCAGTGGCCAGTATTCATTCTTGATTTGATCCGCCAATTCAACAAATTTTATGCTTCGGAGCCAGGATGATGGCCAGGTCACCGCACGCTGGCTGATGAATTGCTGAGACAGATTTGGTACCTTCAACAGTCCACGGTTCCAATCACTAGAGGGAGCTACTGGAGGAAGGTTCTAGAGACTTCAAGAACCAAGTCCTGTAATTCACCTTTCGTCCATGGTAGGTATTCAACCACCTGTTTTGATTCATTTGGGTTGTCAGCCAGGGCGCAGGACCCAGGGGCCACTCCCAGCACCTCATCTGAGGTCCTTTCTCAAAATGCCCCCCGAGCCGGTCATCGTGAACAAGGCAGGGCTGAATAACGACAGCTGGAAGAACCACGGGTGATGGGCGGTGTCAAGCCACCCTGAAAAAGATGTTGGTTCTTCTTGGGAGGAATCAAAGGTTGAAACCACACACCAAGATAAATCAAGGTCAGTTGATGGACATGAGATCCGTTTCAGACGAACCGAAGCCAGTGGAGCAAAAAAACGAAGGGAATGGATGGTGAGATAGCCATTCACAGATCGAAACTCCCTCTCTCTCTCTCTCTCTACTATTGAAGACAGACACCGCTCAGGCCATTCAGACTATCCGAATCCGGTCATCATTTCTGTGCAGGTGTCAATTGCTTCTTTCATGTGGCGGAGGCATCCTCCGATGAACTAAAACAGAAGCACCTTCCCAAGAAACTTTGGATTTTGTGCTCTGATTGGTCCCTCCATAGACCCAGTCAAGGGGAAGCCTCAACATCATGGGGCGACACTGTAGGCCTCGGCGACCTCAACGGCTGATGAGCAAATCACCCCAATGGTAACCTTTACTCAGGATGATTCCTCCCAAGAACCAAGATCTTTTTCAGGGTGGCTTAAAACCACCAACCAGACCTTCGAACTACTCTAGAGTACCCTACGCCCCGTCGAAACGCCTTTTCGACGAGGTGATCCCAGGCTGCTGGGCTGAAGAGGTTGGCTTCCAAGGTGGTGACTTGACCGAAAAGGGGCCGGCTCCAGTTTGGACAAAAAAACACGTCGGGCGATTTGTGTGTTTCATTTTTGCCACGGGTGAATGGATTTCAAATTGTGGGTTTGAGATGCTGGAAAAGAGGCCTCAGATCTCCCTTTTTCTGTGGGCAAATGCAGACATCATTTATAGTACTGTAAAACAAAGTGCAAGAAGGCTGTCTTGCTACCCGACGAGGCCTGGAAAAGCGCTACAAACCAACCCACGCAACCCTGTGCCAACCTCCAAGCCACACGTCCAATACATCCTTTTGCCCACGTACGCACGTTCACGCCGGGCTAAGACGTGCAGCGAAGCCGCCCGAAGCCGCCGAAGCCCTCCGTGCCGAGGCGAGGAGATCGTGGCCTTGGACGGGGCGCCGGTGGCCTCGATGACGCCGGAGACCTTCAAGGCGGCGCTGCAGCAGCGGCCCCTGCGGCTGAGGCCGGCGTCCTCCACGGGCACGGTGACACACCGGTGGGGTGCCGTGCCAGGATCCGTTTCGTGGAGGGGGCGTTGGATGGGCGGAAACCACACGGTTTGGCTGCGTGGTTTTGGGGGGAGAGTGGTGAGATGGAGATGTTGGAGATGTGGATGGAGAGATGCGGACAGTAGGTATTGGCGCGGAAAAAACAGACATGGCAAGACTGGGTACAGCGGGGGGAGATAGCTAGCAAGTTAGCAAGTAAATCGATTTGATGTGTGCTGTGTGCTTGGTTATCCAGAATGACCATTGGACAGTGAATGTTGGAAAACCAAAAGAGACTCCAAAGGGACATGCAGAGTCACATGAGCACTGGGGACCCAGTCGCAATCCTTTTTCACAGTCTGCCTTCAGCATTCATTGAATCCTCGCAGGTTTCGTCCTGCTGGGCACAAGGAGCAGGAGGAGCAGGAGGAGGAGGAGGAGGACGACGAGGCCTAAGTTGGCACGCTCGTTGACACAAGTCTAGCGGGGTGAAGAAGGCCCAGAACCGCTGTTTTGAGAGAGCTCCGCACACCAATATCCAAAGAGGTGCTATTCGTACCACCAGGATAGATGAACAACCACTTGGACCTGTACCTGTACCGATTTAGATCTTCTTTTCAAAAGCCTGTACTTAGAAGTGTCCGATCCAACTAAGTTAAGCATCGTTTACGTTTTGTTTGATGGCTATGTTCTGTTCCTTGACGGAGAAAGTGCAGTAAGATGATGCAGTAAGCCACCAACTGTGGCTCAATTTTGACCTCCGTAAGCAGCACAGGACTGCAACATATAGGGGGCCGTGGCTGAGTGGATGAGACAAACACTCATTGCTTGATTTCTTCATCTCATACACTCTGACTCACCAACATGGAAGTGGAAAAGACAGCCCCCATGTTGCTCTTCGAGCAGGGGGGATTCATATGGATTCATGACGTTTCCACTTCTGAGTGTAACTGTTAAACTCCTTTCCGAACTAAGGTCTTGAACATCATGGCGTTTCCTCATTGGTCTTGAGCACCACCACCTCCTTAGGTTCTCCCCGGTCTCGGTCCATCTCTCGGCGCAGTTCTGCGCAGTTCTGCCGATGTCGGTCCGGCAGGAGCCCGTGGAGGTGACTGCGGATGCCAAAGTGAAGAAGATCGGTTTGCCACTGGACTAGATTCGCTTCAGCTGAGGAGGTTTAGGCGGCATGACTTCCCTGCAGAATCCATATCAATCTACAGCACTCAAACGCTACAGGTCACCTCCCATTTGTTGGATCCAAAGAACCTGGATACACCTTTGAATAATCCTTCACGGCCTTGCTCGCACGAGGGTTTGGCTTGAATTTTTCAAGACATCAGTCATCGGGGGAGCTCCTCCTGCCTCGAGGTCCTTCCGGGAGCTTCCTCCGCAGCCGGTGGTCGTGAGCAAGGCGGGTGCAAAAACGGTGGGGAAGACAAACAAGTGCTAGTGTAGGCAAGTAGAGGCCCATCATGTGGGGTCGAGCTATGCCTGTTTGCGACCATCCTTCTTGCTGTCTGCCTTTGGCACTGGTCTTGGGGAAGGTCCCTCTTTGTCTCAAAGGAGCTCAATGTTTTGAAGGCCTCTGTTTCGCTCTCCCTCATTTTGACAGGCTCATGCAGCCTTTCATGTTCATTTCATCAGGGTGCTATTTTAGTGAGTGCAGTGAGTGATACATTTCTTTTTCCTCTCGCCATTCTTCTTGTCCTTCTTGATCAGCGTCTTCAATTCACCGCTGGTCCATCACCGTACGGTGCCAGGCCCCCGGAGTTTTCGGTTTGGCCACCGTGAACATGTTCCGGACGATGCCCTCGTGGTCGTTGCATGGGATGAATCGAACGCAACCCTGCCTTGGAACCCCCCATGTCAATCGGTTTGGAGACATCTTGAGACTCTCTAAAGCAGCCAGCTTTGATGTAAAGAATCTGATTCTTCCCAAACGACAAGAACAAACGGACAAGAATTCTTGGTTCTTTTGTGGACTCCTAGGACTCAACCTTAAGTCTTGCCCCAAAGCAAATATCCAATCATTCATTCGTGTCAAAATTGGATCACCTCAAAAGATTCTCGGAAGACTCCAACTCCAACATCCTAAAAACATCTTGGAAGCCTCAAACGATCACCCCCCAAAAAATAGAACGGAGGAAAGTCCAGACAACCCGTGAGAAAAAACGAAGAGCTCCCCACGAGCTCATGAGGTGACATCCTCGCTTTCGCCCCGTCGAACGCCAGGTCGTTCCGGAGACCTGGGCCTCGCAGATGGGCTTCAGAGGAGGCGCGCGAAAAACGGCGCAACGAAACGACGCACAGCTACGCACCCGGCGAACGGCCTCTTGGGGTCGACAGAGGTCATCCAGGAGGCGGAACACCCGAAGGTCGGATTGAACGAAGGTTGGTGTCGATGGACCAAGGGCTTGCCTGCCAGTGCACTGCACTGCTTCCCGCCACATGACCACTTTCGATGGGACGATTGAAGCCCCCTCAAGCCATGTAGGAACCTGTGAATCGTGAATCTTGCTTTGGGAATCGGGTGACGGTTTTCCAGCTCACCCCATTCTCTTCGCAGCAAGCCACTGACCGACCTTCCGCCATCCACCGCGCACCGTTGCTTCTCACCCGTCTTTCCGAGGTGAAGAGATCGTGGCATTGAATGGCCAGCCCTGTGAGGCGACGTGGCGGTGAGGGCCGTGACCGCTCCAAGCGCGAAGAGGGGTGAGATGGTGACCCCAAAACACGGCAGACATCGCACCTGTCAAGACCTTACTGACGGTTCTGATGGATTCTTGCCGGGATAGACTCTGGATAGACTAGGGTTGAGCTTGGCATTGGGTGGATGGGTGAAGATGGCATTCTTTGCTGCTTGTGGGTTGGAGCATATGGGGACCCATATGGGACATTATGGGACCATACCTGGCTTTTCATTTGTCACAGGCTGGAAGCATTCTTAAGGTGATAGGTGTTGGCTGTGTTGAGGCGAGTACCATGAACAGTTTAACGGCGGGTTATTCCTGTTCATGTGGATGAGATGCAAGCTGACCTAGGAAAGCACAGCTTGCCACTTGGCTTGACATATGATATGTCCAGAGAATTCAAAACAAGTCTAAGGCCTTCCAGAATCCCATCCAACTTTAAGGACACACAGCAGCTCTTGCCAAGTCCAAAGTCCTCCAAGTTTACAAGTTGTAGCTTTACGTCTTGAAGACCATGCCATTTGCTTCCATGTTTATGTCATTTATGTTGTTCACTGTACAGCCTGCGCTTGCATGCTAAAAGCCAAAAAGCCATAGTGAGCGCAAGATAGGTCGAAGTCAATCCCCTGAAAACTGGAAGATAGTGCATGGCAGTCCAATCGTCTTCTTTGTTTTCATTTGTCATGCTGTCCTTCGAATCCAATGGAACATGCAGGCCATGAACAGCGCCACCTTCAAGGAATTGCTGGGTATCAGGCCTTTAACACTGAGGTGCGATCCTGAGTCGTCCTGGCCCCCAATTCGATTTCATTGAATTCATCCAGTGAATCCAGTGACTGATCAACTGTTAACGTCTCATGGGTCTTTTTCTAGGGTGTCGCCCTCTCCCCACTTTGAGATGGCTCCCATCTTGACCCTTGAACGCTGTCGTCCGTACCATTGGGAATGCACTCCGCTTGTGGAGCGAAGAAGAGGGACCTGTCGCATCTCGTCTCCCAAGTGTGGCACCATGGAGATCAGCAGAAGCTTTTTCAACAGCATTGTTTGGACCAATGTGACCATGCGGTCTTCTCTGACCCCCGGTGTTTGGAGCTTCTTAGAAGGTGATGATGATGGTGGTGATAATGACGACTTGTATACAGTCTCTCCTCTCTCTTCGGGCACCTGACCACTGAGCTTTCCTGCAAAGCACTGTCCACTTGCTTTCTGGTATTTCCCATGTGAAGCTACTACGCGAAGCTCGCAAACGGGAAGCTCGAGCTGTGCAACACACACACATGTCTGAAGGGTATTGGAGCAAAAGAACACAGCTTCTTGGTTGGAAAGAGGCATTTGACATATATAATATATAGATATTGCCCAGACTCCGAAGAATTGTCCAACTCCCCAATTCCGAAGTGCCATGTTCGATGTTGAAGCCTCAGACTTTTCCTTCGGAGCTCTTCCTCCCGTGCCGCTCGCATCCTCCCGTGTGGCGCGCCAGGTATTTCCCTCCCTTGGAGGACGGAGGGGGGCGCGCATCCTTCTTTCCAGTCTTTTTGCGGGGGGATGGACGAAGGTCTTCCTGGACCCTGGTAGAAAGGACAGATGGGTTCGGGTTCACCCGAAAAATATGAAAATCATTGAAAATCGCAGATGGATTTAGAGTTGTCACAAACCGGGTTGATGATGTTGAACCTTCCTTTTGGGCAACCCACACACACTGTAAGAACACAGTTGGACATGCTTTGCAGATGCCGTGCTTGTTTCAGCCAGTGACGCAATTGACTCGATTGATGCGTTGCAATGAGAATTCGTGCTAGGCGGAGCCGGCGGAGCCGGAGGAGCCGGCGGAGCTGCATGAAAGAGAAGCAGCTGCCACAAAGATACAGGCTCTTCATAGGGGAAAGACGGCCCGTGCAGCAGTGGCTGCTCAGAAGGAGGAGCGGATAAATGCCGCAACGAAGATACAGGCTGTTCAAAGGGGCAATAGAGAGCGAAAAGCCGTAGCGGAGGACAAGAGCCGAAGGGCCGCAAGCATAGCACCAGAGTCGCCAGCTACGCCACAAACTCCGGCAACTGCAGCAAGGCCGCGGCCACCAGCAGCCCCCCCTGCTATACCGCGACCGCCAGCAACGCCGTCCCCAAAGAAAAAGAAGAGGCAGGATCCGGTAAGACCAAATGTTCCAGATTTAGACGTGCAAAAGAGGGAAGAGGCTGCCAAAAGGATACAGGCTGTCCAGAGAGGCAAAGCAGCACGAACAGCGACGGCAGTGGAAAGGCAGCAAAGGGAAGACGCCGCAACGAAGATACAGGCTGTCCAGAGAGGTAAAGCAGCGCGAAGAGCAACAGCAGATGAAAAGCAGCACAGAGAAGAAGCTGCAAAGAAGATACAGGCTGTACAGAGAGGAAAAGCAGCACGAGCAGCAACGGCAGACGAAAAACAGCAAAGGGAAGATGCTGCAACGAAGATACAGGCTGTCCAGAGAGGTAAAGCAGCCCGAAGAGCCACAGCGGACGAAAAACGGCAAAGAGAAGACGCCGCAACGAAGATACAGGCTGTACAGAGAGGGAAAGCAGCACGATTAGCCGCAGAAAAGGACTTGACAGCACCAAGGAAGCAGTCTCCTGTGAAGCAAGACGTCTCTGATTTGGATGCCCAAGAAAGGGAAGAAGCTGCCAAAAAGATACAGGCTGTCCACAGAGGTAAAGCAGCGCGAAGAGCAACAGCAGATGAAAAACAGCAAAGAGAAGACGCTGCAAAGAAGATACAGGCTGTACAGAGAGGAAAAGCAGCACAATCAGCCGCAGCAAAGCCGAGGATAAAGCCTGAAAAAGCCTTGAAAGCACCGATGAAGGAGGAACGAGGCAAGAAGACTGCTCCAGCAGAACCAAGGAAGCAGGCTCCTGGGAAGCAAGACGTCACTGATTTGGATGCCCAAGAAAGGGAAGAAGCTGCCAAAAAGATACAGGCTGTTCAGAGAGGGAAGGCAGCACGAACAGCTATGGCAGAGGAAAAGCAGCAAAGAGAAGCAGCTGCGACGAAGATACAGGCTGTACAGAGAGGTAAAGCTGCACGAATGGCTGGAACAGACAAGAAAACTGAGTCAAAGGAGACCAGTGGCAGTCGTCGCTCCAGAGAGAAAGGGTAGCTTGTCTGCATGTTGAAGGTCGCTGTTGCACTGTAGGACTCTCATCCCCAGGCCCAGGAAGCCCAGATGTAGCAACTAGGTCCAGGTGGTTTGTACGTGTTTGAAAGGTTCCTCTGAGTCATTGAGTCACTGGTGACCATCATTGGTGCACTGACTTCAGAAGGCAGGCGACCCCGGCCAAGCTATAGGTGCTGCCCAGGTATGCAGATCATTGCAGATCCCCCTGAAAAGAACATGCCATTGCCCGCCACAGGTCACGGAAGTCGCGAAAGTCACGCATCCGTTTTGTTTGTTCACAATAATGCGAACTTGTGCCATGGTGCCATGATTTTGTGTGGAAGGAGAATGATGTTGCAGGCTTTGCACCCGAATCATCATCCAGAGAGGAACATGGACTATCCCAAGGGACTCACTTTGGAGGAAGAGAACTCCCCTCAACAAACATCCAAACATCCAAACATTCATCAAATCCTCATTCACCACGCCGAAGACGCCCGTGTCGTTGAAAAACCACCCCCTTTGGTCGTCGTCCTTCGCCCCGCTGCGTCGAGGCCCGGCAGTGTGGGCCCATCGGAGGCGGACGGCGGACGCCATGGGACGATTTAGGACGGTCACAGCGATGAACGTGACGTATGGACGGTCCGTGTGTCACGGCTTCGGCGGACGGCGTTGAGGGAGACGTGGACACGAAGGAATGCGCATTCGCCACAATTTCCAGGTTCACAACTGTTCGCTTTTCTGTGACAATGCGTGTCCTTAGTTGTCTTTGACGCCAGCTCAACGGGCTTGAAGATCTATTTGTGGGTCCTAATCCCCTTCACTGCGACCAGTGGTCAGTGCGACCAGTAGTCACTGTAGATGGCCACCTGGAGCATCCTGTCTGGCTATCTTGACTGGACTACGGTAATTGTTACCTGGGGACCTCGAAGGGCCACCCAGACCGGATCGTGCTGGGTACCGCAGCCCTCCGTTGCCAGGCCAGTGGTGCACGTGGGACCAAGGCCAGTGGTGCACGTGGGGTCCGGTGGTCCGGTTTTGATCGGTTCGTGAAAGGGAAATCGATCATGGGTGCTTTTTGCATGAGCTCGACAACTAGACATTTTTTCCCTGAAATACCTGAAAGATTTATAGAACTCCTAGAAGCTTTCCGGATCCCAGTGCCGTTCTGATTCATAAGGATATTTCTCCATCTTATGATCACAGCAGGGACGAAAGACTCTCTACGAGGACAGACAGTGGGAGATCATAAAGGTCGCAGCCATCTGGGAAACGGAAACCCCGGAGCCCCGAGCTACCGGAGTCTGAAGTAGGCCGCCGACCCTTCAAGAACGAGGAGTTCAAGGGGCTTTTTGCCCAGGTAGCCGGTGTGGTCCTCACCGCGGTTTATTAAGATTGGAATGATTTGGAGGAGACTCCAACTAGCAGAGGCCTCCAGTGTGCGACCCAACCATCTAAGTGGTGCGACCCAACCAGCTGGAGAACCGACCTGGCAGAGCTATGTTTTTTGAAACGACCACATTGAAACAACGGGTCTGTCGAGACCGTCGCGGGCGAAGCCGACCTCGGTCGCACAGGGAGATGAGCCGAAGGGCCGCGGCAAAGGCGAGTAGACGAGCGTCGATTCGTGCGGTTTCCGGTTTCGTGTGGTTTTTCGTTTTTGGAACGGAGTGGGACAGCGAAGAAGACTTCGTACCCAGGACCCACTGTCGGGGTGGTGAATGGACACTCCGAATCCCTTAGGGGGGCCTTGTATTTACTGTATTTACATATTCAATGTTTACATATTCAATATCTAATATATATAGATGTGCCACACAGGCTTTGCGTGTAGAACTGGTCATGTCAACAGAGTGATCTCTACACTCACCTCAAAGCAAGCTCACTCTGACGCCTCGTTGTGCTCACTCTAACAAGTTTTGGTATCGTTGATAAAAGGCAAGCAGCAAGCAGTATTTTCATGGACCATATGAGCAGCCACCCAAACACGCGATGACCATAAAGATGCGGCCGTGAATTTCAGGAATTTTGCGGTCTGAGCTGCAAAAGTGAGGTCTAGCCATGTCGTTGCAGTCTTTGGGTCTGTTCACACGTGGCGTTTGTGGGTCCTGAAGAAGTGATAAGCCCCTCATGGCCGCGGTAATCTGGTTGAATCGTGTCCTCCTGGCCCACAAGGCGTTTCGGCAGACGCTCATGACTCAATAACTATATTAATAACTATATTGTGGTGAAACTGGATGGACAGCGCAACTGTTTTCATTGTTGCACGTCAGAGATGGAACATGATCGAATTGATCGCATCAGCTTGGATGGATCCTACCCATGAGGAGGCCTCACACAGTCACTCCTTTCCACCCTAAGGCTTTGCTGGACTCTCAGGACCATGTGACCAGAATGACCAGACAAATCGAAAGGCATATGGGTTGTGGGCCTCCACCTTGCTTGAGGGATGACCATTTATGTCATCCGGACTCATCACTATTTTCGTCCAACCGGACTTTTGAGTTGTGTTCGAAGATCCTCACAGGTGCTGAATGGACAACAACTATGCCATGTGCTTTCAGGTTCGTCCCCCCCTATGAATCCTTTGGTTTGGGTGGTGGTGGCCCCTTCCATGGGGTTTACCACAAGAGAATTGCAGGATTTCCAAGCGGTCCAAAGAGGTCAACGCATCGAAAGCCTGCCTCAGCTGGAAGTGCGTTCATAGTGAAAAATCTCTTAGGTGTGGCTCCTCTATGTCTCCCATGAGTTGGAGACATAGATCCTTCGTGGCCCAATATCTCCACCAGGCACACCTGGTCCAGACCGGCGCAGCGTGCAAAGCGTGCGCAGCACTCGCAGCGCCTCCGCCACTCGGCTAATGACGAGAGGAAGTGGGGCACCCGCAATCGATCAATGATGGAAGAACTCCTCCTCAGCACGCAGTCCTTCCTGCAACAGCAGCCATTCCCCTTTTTAGACTATCTATTAAACGAAGAGAACGTCTCAGAAAGCTTTCAAGTCCAGTAGTGACTCACATCCACAAAGGCCCATCACCAGGCAGGCAGGCTTTGCCAGAAAGAGCAGACGGACGACTCGTTTCCCACCGGTGCCCAGTCGGGTCCCAGAGGCCGAAGAGGCCGAAGAGGTCGGTCGGGACCACCGGAGCTGCCAAGGCCGGTGCTTCACATTCCTCCCAACGTGCGCAAGCGCGCAAGGAGAAGGTCGGGAGTACCGGGAGCCGGTACCGGTGCAAGGTACCGGTGCAATCTGGGCCTTTGAAAACGGGGCCCAGTGCGTTGGTTGTGGTGGTTGTGAGCGTGGGCAGGTTTCTTGTATCATCAGATTCTGAACATTGATATCAAGTTATGATATAATATGCGGTTACAGTATATGCACTCTTCATCACAACATCAGAAATCCAATCAGAGGAAATGGATGGAAACTGACTTACACCAGTCGTCTCGCCAGTGGTCACGCGAGTCGTCTCGCGAGGCGGAGGCCAAGGAGGCCAAAAAGGCCCAAGACGCGGCCGCCGCGGCCGCCGCGGCCGAGCCGGGCTCCGTGACGCCCTCCGCTGAGCCGCGCTCGCCGCGCTCGCCGGGCTCAACGGCCACGCGGCGCGCGGGGTCTGAAGGCTCCGCGCGGAGTGGCAGCAACAGTCCTGTACATGGCCGGGGAGGTCTGGGTGCCCAAGTAGCGGAAACGTGCGCGTGCGTGGTCCAGGCAAAAGTATTCGGGCTGCCAAGGAGGGGTGGTCCAGGTTCCAAAAGAGAGATCAGAAGTTTTGTCTCTCGATTTTCTCAGGTGTCCAATTCGACATTGGCACTGGATAGGTGAGCAGGTATCTTGGACTCGCGCCGACTCGGACCCTCGACATTGCCCCGATTCCAGTCAGTGACTGATGCTTGAAGAAAGGACATTGCCTGGTGACTCCCAATGAGAGAAGCCTATGAACTTATATGAACTTATATGAACTTATGAATCAAGATGGATCAAGGAAAGTTGGAGTCTCATCCCCATCAGAAGGCAAATCGTGCAATCTTTGTTTTTCTTTTTCAGCCTCCTCGGCTCGCCGACGACGTGGTCAGACTCTCCTGGTTCTTCAAACCCCGAACCTTCAGACCTCATCCGCATCGAGGCGCGTCGCGCGCCTCGGTGATCTCCCAGGCGCGGTGATCTCCGGTGATCTGTTGGCCCGTGTCGGTGTTTTGACCGGTGGGTTTGACCGGAGGTCGTTCTCCGGAGTGTGACGCAGGTTTTTGGGAAGAACGGAAAGAACATGAAATGAAAGAACGGCAGCCCTCTGTTTCTTCGGTTTTGGATGCCAAGGATGTGTTGAGAGATTGGAATCAAACAGGTTTCGGCATGGCGAAAGTCAGTCGAAGTAATTACTCGTTTTCCTGCCTGAAGGTTGTTCAATCGTGGGGATCCGAAAGTCGATATGAGTCCCATGAGCTGGGCCGTCAGGACAGGGCCTCCAGCAGCAGTCCTCGGAATCGTTGGGAGTCCCAGTGGGAAAGGCAGTGACACTGGAGAGGAAGTCAGGCGGGAGGAAACAAGGAAACAGACGAGGCCCCATCATCACACAGCTTTCTCAATATACACGAATTATTATACACTGACATAGTACACTGACATGTATTATATAAATTTATGTAACATTATATATATAGAATATATACACATGATATATCATCATATGTCTGTTTGTGTGTGTTTGGATGGTTTACGCAACTCGAATGTCTCTTCTTCCGCCTCCGCTTCCTCTTCGAGTGCGAAAACCCTTTTTCACGTGGCGCATGGCGCTCCAGGCGTCGGTGTGACGTTGCCAACGGCGATGGGTTTCGATGAGCAACACCCCGGCGATTTGCGCCGACAACGGTCCCAGACGAAGTCGCAACCAAGGGGCTTCGTGTGGTTTTGCGGCACACATTCCAAGAGAGATATCCATCTAACTACACAAATACATACTTGTATATATATATATGACTACATACTGTATATAATATACTGTATATATACATATAGAGAGAGTGATCTATAGGTTTGCAACCTCTACTCCGAGCTTCTTTCATTCTGTTCATTTTGGAGGGTCAATCCAGGTTGCTTTGATCCTCCACATGAACAAACTGTATATTTCAGTGTTTATCCGGGCTTTAGATGTCTATAGTTGTAGAAGGAGCCGAGGGCAAATCTCAGTGAATGGCAACTTAGGATAACTTTGGTGAGCCTTCCAAACCCCTTCAAAACATTCCTACACGACTCCATGCAAGTAGAAACATGACTCCGTGGCACGTGGCAGATTACTTTCTCCAAATCATTTAAAACGTTCTTTCACGTCCAATGTTTCTTTTGATTCTCCCAGTAGAAGTCCACGCATTTGGACATGTTTCGATTGAATATGAATGCGGGATTGTGGACCATCGTGTCGAGGGATCTTTCTTCCGAGTGCTTCGAGGCCAGCGAGGGAGCCTTCTCTCGACCGTGTCCGGCGAGGTGGGCGAGTCGAAGCCCCCGCGGGTCGACGGATCTTCGGCCGATGGGAGAAGTGACCTCGGCCGTTTGACCGAAAGTGACACCGAGAAGCATGAAGATTATGGTTTCGGCGTGGGAAGGAGATCGACATCCGAAGAACCAGATCCCATGCATGGTGGAACACATGTATCTTTTAGCTGTGTGGAGCAGCGTTGGTCTGGATGGTCAAGTCGTTGGTAGTTATCATCTGGCTGAGGGAACACTCTTCTCTCCACCAGCGGAGTTGATGAACATATTGAGGACAAGCATGAACGGTGAAGAACCCCCCCCAAATTCCAACCACCCGGAAAATATGGGAGACTTTTTCGCATCTCTAAAGGTGCATGTGGCATTCAACGACACATCCCGGGAAGTGCATTAAAAGATGCTTTTGGCAGAGCGTGTTTTTTGTTGGTTGCTTCCAATGGTGCGACTTGGCTGATGGGGTGATTTGCTTGGCTTTCACAGGCTCTCCTTCTCCAAAGACACATCACATCCTAGAGTCATTTCGCAGGAAAACAAAAGAACCACATGAATGAGACACTTTTGGCCCAAGATGCAAATTCTACTCAACATGTTCTCCAGTTTATGACAATGTCTTCTGCAGGATATGATCATTCAGTGCTTCTGCGAAGTGATGGGAGTGCCGTTGCTTGCGGATGGAACAGGTATGGACAATGCGACATTCCACCTTTGGAGGAGGGTGTTTGCTACACCCAAGTTTCTGCAGGAATTGCTTATTCAGTGCTTCTGCGAAGTGATGGGAGCGCTTTTGCTTGCGGCATGAATGATGATGGACAATGCGACATTCCACTTTTGGAGGAGGGAATGTGCTACACTCAAGTTTCCGCAGGAGGTCATTCAGTGCTTCTGCGAAGTGATGGGAGTGCTGTTGCTTGCGGATGGAACGATGATGGACAATGCGACATTCCACCTTTGGAGGAGGGAATGTGCTACACGCAAGTTTCTGCAGGAAATCAACATTCAGTCCTTCTGCGAAGTGATGGGAGTGCCGTTGCTTGCGGATGCAACAGGTATGGACAATGCGACATTCCACCTTTGGAGGATGGTATGTGCTACACCCAAATTTCTGCAGGAGCTAGTCATTCAGTGCATTTACGAAGTGATGGGAGTGCCGTTGCTTGCGGATGGAACAGGTATGGACAATGCGACATTCCACTTTTGGAGGAGGGAATGTGCTACACCCAAGTTTCTGCAGGAATTGCTCATTCAGTGCTTCTGCGAAGTGATGGGACAGCCGTTGCTTGCGGCATGAATGATGATGGACAATGCGACATTCCACCTTTGGAGGAGGGAACGTGCTACACTCAAGTTTCCGCAGGAGGATATCATTCAGTACTTCTGCGAAGTGATGGGAGTGCTGTTGCTTGCGGATTGGACCATGAAGGACAATGCAACATTCCCGTGTTTGCAACAGGTAGCTACCTTTTTCATCGTGGCAAAGACTACATTCTGCAAGTGGGCGTTGCCTTCGAAGATGATGGAGCGGTGCTGACATGCTGGGATTTGGCCGGACATAAGGCATTGCTATTGAGAGGAAAAGCGTCAGACCTGGCCTGGGAGACTCACAAGCGCATTGCCAGTGACTTGCGGGTTAGCCTTCCAAATCTTCGGGTAGTTCTGCCCGATGGACAGTTGTTGGCCTCAATGTGCAGGGCAAGTCCATTGGCCACCATTGCGGATTTGGGTTGAGAGCAGGTGAACGAGACGTGAACCTCGCTTCGCTGGTCGTCGAAAACAGGGTGTTTGGTCGCTGCTTCGTGAATGGAAGATGTAGGCAGATCCAAATTAACAAAGAACCCCTGCGCAAGTTTAATGACGGAGTCTCCGTGCACCTGGCCAAGGTCATTGTCGTTGTTGAGTGTAACAGGTTGGGGACATGAATATCACCAAACCAATAAACACATAATAGTGGAATCCCAAGTCACGAAAGGTAGCTTGAGCTACCTGAGTTCTCCTTGCTTTAGCAAAAATGTATTACAATCAGGAGTTGGGATTGTGCATTGAGTTTGGTCCTGTAAGAGTTGATTCTGTTCGTCGGGGGGGGGGCCCTCCCCCCTGGATCAAATCCCCCCTGCGCCGGTTCACGCCGTCATGGACTTTTACCAGGGTTGCTTGTGATTGCCTGCCACCTTTCGTTCACCCCCTCCTGTCTCAAGTTTCTTTACCGAGTAGAGAGAAGCATGTTGGCTATTGGCTATGCCGCTTGTGAACTCGTGGTTGATTTCAGGAGCCTTTGAACTAGAATGTATCGAACCCAAGCGTCCTAGACTCCAAGAATCTCCAAGAGTATGGTTGGCCATTTCCATCTATACCTCAAGAACTCTCACCCTGTTGGGTAATTGTAACATATTTTTAACCCATTCAAGCACAAAAGCACTTACAAAAGCTACTAGGGGCTCCTGGCATCGCTACTAGGAACAAGAAGCTACTAGGGACTCCTGGCCTTACTACTAGGAGCGATCGGACGCTAGTAGTAACAAGTGCCACGCTAGTAGTAACAGGTGCCTTACTAGTAGTAACAAGAAGCTACTAGGGACTCCTGGCCTTACTACTAGGAGCGATCAGACGCTAGTAGTAACAAGTGCCACGCTAGTAGTAACAGGTGCCTTACTAGTAGTAACAAGAGCA